GTAACTGAATGAGGAACTGAAAAACATACTATGTAACGTGTTTCGGGCTCCAACTGGACTTCGTCAGACTAAAGTAATGTTCTTATTAATGGAATTATATATAGGAGGAGGAGTAAAATGTAAACGTAAGCTTCGTTTATAAATATGCGTCGGGGAGAAACGCTGATGGTGTAGAAACGCTAAATTTTAAATTTTGATAATTCTAGCGCCCGACGTGTCTAGACGCACTGCTCGGCCAATCTCATTCGGTTACTTAATGCGTTTATTTTTGTTTGTATCGCTGTTATTTTTTAATATCCCACATTGTGAAAACAGAAGATAGAAAAATTACCGGTGGAGCGTACTATGATACCGGTGTCAAAGGAAAAACCGTCCTTTTCACACATTTTTTGCGAGTACGAATGTACTGGGCATTTTATATTTGTATTCCGAGAAACAAATCATCAACTCAACAGAAAAATATTAGGCTGATACAAAAATATTTAACATCTACTTTTGTTAATTTATTTGAAACTTACAAAGACGGGCAGTAATTGACATCTACCACGTGTTAATATCCAATGGTTTTAAACCAGGTATCCGCCGCAAAAAAGAAATCCTACAAATATTTATCAATAACACACAACTTTCTTTCTTTTTATGTGCCATGTCCTTTCATGACGTAGGCAAACATGGCTCTCCACCTCCCTCTATCCCTTGCAGCTCTCAACAAGTTCCTTCCTTTGCCACCTCCCCCAATCCACGTTCTGTCATCTACTTGTTTAAGCCCGCTAGGTATGTCATGCGTCGTTTTCCCTTGTCTCTCTTTCCCTCTGTTCGACCCGTGAATATCAGATTCTCCAGGCCCTCCTTCCTCATTATATGTCCCAGAAGCTTCAGCTGATTCTTCCTGATGTTAAGTATAAGCCTCCTCCTTGTTTGCATCCTCTCTAAGACCTCATCGTTGCTCACACACGCTCGGTCCATGATATCCTTAGCATCCTTCTGTAGAACCACATCTCCGTCGCCTCGAGTCTTTCTTCATCTTTGAGGAAATCGTCCAACATTCGCTGCCGTAAAGGGAGGACAGATGTCACGTAACAGCTCAGTATTCTTTTCTTTGTTACCAAAGAAATCCTCCTGTCTCGCAATACTCTGCCCAGCTTTTGGAATGCGTCCTTGGCCATTCAAATACGTCTACGGATCTCAGTGTCACACTTGCCGTCCTCTGTCAAAACATTTCCCAGATATTTAAACTTCCGCATCTGCTTGATTTTAGTGTTCCCGACCTGCAAATCGCATTTCAGGTTCATCCTTTTACTGATGACCATGCATTCTGTCTTCTTGTAGTTTATATAGTCCTTTCTTCTCGCTCTCTCTGTCGCTACCTTCTGTAGGAGATTTTTTAATTTCTTTTCCATGTCTGCTCTCAGTATTGTGTCATCTGCGTATCTTATGTTGTTAATATTGTGGCCGTCAATGCTAAATCCCGGTAGAGTTTCCAATTCTCTCAGAATTGTCTCGCTGTAATTGTTGACTATGATACCATATAAACTGTAAAAAAAAATGGATGATTACAAATACTGAGAGCCTTAACTATAAAATCAAATAAACCTCCATCAATAAAATTTCGGTCAATTAAAAACATTAAATATATTTAAAAACAAAAGTTCTCGATATTATAAACCAACGCAATAACACGCTATATTTAAAGAACTCGGACGCAGCTATGCCTACAGGCAGGGTGTCGTCTGGAGAGGTAGACAGCTACCCGGCCCCATGTATAATTATCTACGGGGAAATTTTGCCCGATCGTACGCGCTCGGAATAGCCCCACGTTAAAAATTGGTCTTGTCCCACATTCCGCGTTGAGGGGAGGTTTCGGACAAATACCAAGACGACACTCGAAAAGCACCAAAAAAAAAAAAAAAAAACGCAGTAGAACTTTGGTCGCTCCGAAGTGATGTAATGATTAGCAAGCTTGCCTGGATAAATCAGATTACGACTGAATAGTAAGTTCGATCCTTACTGGGTGCTCTATGATTTTATTTTTGCCACATCTAAGCTATCCTTCGAAAATCACCATATGAATCAACATCAGGAGTGAGAAAAGAAATCCATTTCCAACCTTCACATGTATTTTAAACTCAAATGTTTTTAAAATATCCTTGTCAACTGGAGTAAACTGTCTCTCCTTTTTAAAATATTGTCTTTAAGATTGTCGTCATCCTTGGTTTGGAAGCTAAACCCAATGCGACAGAATGCCGTTTGATATCTGCCAGCAATGACATGTAATTCTTCATCTTTTTATTATTGTGTATGGTACCATCTTGCCAGAGAACCTAATTAACTTAAGAGCCTAATTACCAAGTCGTCTCCAGGTGTCTATGAGTAAAAAAGGCGCTGTTTATCGAGTTATCTATGCACATTAAAACGTTTCGTAATTAGATAGAATATGTCTCCTGGATGATATGTGTAAAAAAGAAGTAATCTTTTGTAGCTCTGAGATGCTGATGTATCCAGGAATCTTACTCACATTATTATTATTATTTCATATGCATTCAAAAATACATTCCATAGTTATTTTTATTTATGGATGGTTACAGTTGTTGTATATGTTTACATATGTAGATTATGTTCCAATAGTATATGTCATAATTCCATTGTATATGTCATAGTATTGTCTTCACTATCGGTTATGATGGAGACAGGCATCAACTGTTTATAAAATGCTTCCGTAACATGCGTTTCAAATAGCCTCCAACAATTAAGTCCCGTAAAATATTGTTAAGAGAATGAGCAAAATGGCGGAAAACTAAAAACACTTGTACAATTTGGGGAGGCAAAATTTGTGCTAAAAAATTTACTTGTTTTTCTAAAGCCAAGAAGTTCAACTAATTTTATGAACATGGTGTATTTCATTATCATAACCTTGCATAAAAATACCCATTTGTTTTCAGATAATTGTGTAAACGATTTGTTGAAAAAAAAACGCCAAAATTATTGGGTGTGAATGATGATAAATTTTCATTTCACCCACAGAAGACTTCAAGCGTAGTCTGAGTATCCCTACAGACAGTTTTTAATGTGAGGAAGAAAATGTCTATAAGGGAAACTATTCAGAGAAAGCCTGGAAGTCATGGAATCAACAAAAAGTGCAATAACGTTTTCATCAACACTGTCAAATCCAAAATCTCAAAAGATCCAACGAAATAAATATGAAAATTAGCAACTGAACTTAAGATGGATGCTAAGACTATCAGAAAAGCAGTGACAGATGATTTAAAAATAAAATCTAACACAAGAACACGGAGACATTTCCTGGCACGACACATGAAGGTCAGAAGATTAGAAAGATTCAAAAAAGTTCTTACTTATCTTAAAAGAAACACGTCGACTGTGAAAATATTCTCAGACGAAAAGATCTTTACAGTTGATGGTGTCCTGAATCGTAGGAATGACAGATACATTGCCCAGTCAAAATTTCATATCAAGGTCATTTTCAGAACGAAGCATCCAGATCAAGTTAGGGTTTTGGGGGTTGTGGCCTCCGATGGGAAAAAATGCCTATCAAATTTTACAAACCTGATGAAAAAGTTAATGCTGATGCCTATTAAAAGACTCTAAGATACAATGTCTTACCGTGGCTCAAAGCCAACAATAGAGAGAAACTATGTATCGACTCAGGATGGTTTTCCTGCCCATACATCCAAAAAAGTACAGAATTTCTTCAAATCCAATTTTGCCGATTTTTAGCCATCACACTTCTGGCCCTCTTCCAGCCAAGATCTCACCCCTCAAGATTATGCTGTTTGGAGCGTTTTAAAACATGCTACTAATGGAATCTCTCGTCCAAACGTTAACTCTCTTATGGATACTATCGGAGAAGAGTGGGACAAGATTTCCTCTGCTTTTTGGGGAAGAGTTGTAGAAGTTTCAGGGTGGGGACATGTGGAGGCAGTAATTGAGAAACAAGGAGGGCATATCGAATAAAATGTTTCTTTCGTTTTTTATTTTTATATTGGAACCATTCGTATTTCTTTAAATAAACTAATTAATCAACTATAAGGCCTTTTATTTCAATACCAAATTTATGAAAAGTTTTGCCTCCTCGCCATGTACAATAGCCACAAATAACAGATTCCCAATTATTTCCGACAGCGTTTAAAATAATTTTGAATATAATCGTTACTATCTACCGTTAGGATAATACATTAAACCGGAAATACCCGACCTTGCTACACATAATACCTGATTGATCAGATTGATCAGATACAATACAAAAACACATGGCCTGAAAGATTGCACTTGTTCTTTAAATTTAATAAAATAGTGCTTCTCAGTGCTGACTTCAATTAATTTGGCACGCTCAAATCACCATGCTGATAAATAATATATGGCGCCAGTTTGTTTATATGGCGCAGGTCAGTATTTTCTTTTAGTGATTGCGCAGATCAGTGTTGCCAACATTTTTTGTGAAAAAAAAAATGTGTGAAATTGAATTGATTAGACGGTTTTGAAATATTAAAAAAAAAAAAAATATCTCGATAATAATTTTTTTTATATATTTTATATATATATATATATATATATATATATATATATATATATATATATAATATATATGCCAATAAATTGCAATTGTTAACTGAGAATGAAAAAATGAGAAAACTTTAGTGAGGAGAAAAAAAAAAAATAAAAAAAATTATTCAGAAAAATGAATAGCAGATGGCGATTGATGATGGGTTCAGATTTTTGATTGATTTTTTTACGGCTTATCAACCCTGTTTTTTGTTATTTAAAGCCGAAACATTTTTCGATGGTAAGAATTTTTTTCTGGAGATAATAATGATTTTCTGATACAAGTCTTACTGTTTGACACCTAGCTGCGAGGACACGAGATGGATTCATAACTTTCCCGAGGCTATTTGCACGTAAGTGAATATAACGGACACGGCTGGAATGACTCTCCGATTTCTCATTCCGAGCTTTTATCCATGACGCCACCAGCACACCCAGGTTTACAGCATCTGTTATCCCCTAGCGGTCACTCATCTAGATACTGACCAGTGCAACTTTGCTTAACTTCGGTGATCAGATGGGAACCGGAGTTTGAAAACGATATGTTGTAAGCCTTTATATTTTTGAAAATCGAAGTTCGCTATCCGTAATATCGTCCGTTTTTTTATCATTTCACCCTAGACAAGGCAAATAAAGCCACTAAGACGCAAGGGGTTACTGAGTGTTAAGAGAGTACAAGAAAGTTGCTATTAAGAAAAGAGAAAAATGAAAAAACAAGAATTAATAAAACAGAAAATAACGATTGACATTGCCTTTACATTTTTGAAGACCAAATTTGAATGGGAAGCGAAAAGTTTATTCATTTTATATATATATATATATATATATATATATATATATATATATATATATATATATATAACAATCTACAATCTACATTCAACAACATCATTATTGATAAGACACCAGAGGTGTTGAAACAAAATGGCTATTTTTGTAGTGATTTTATGACATATTCATGTTATAATTATTAAATAATTATAGTCGCTCTACTCTGTATTGAGCACTCTTTTAAGAATAGTAATTGTTGGTTATTGGAATTTATTCCGTATACACCAATCATATACTTGGATATATATATATATATATATATATATATATATATATATATATATATGTGTGTGTGTGTGTGTGTGTGTGTGTGTGTGTGTATAGAGTTAGATAAATGAAATAACTAGATATCAGCAACCATATAAATAAGATGGAACCTATATCTTGTCCTATATCGTGTCTGTGTCTATGTGTGTGACTGGGAAGCAAGAAGCTTGTGAGAGTTCCACAACTGGAAAGTGTGAGAAAAAACTGTTGGCATAGAACTTACGGTTACGTCTAGCCATTTCAACTATAAAGGGATGAGACCTTTCTGCCAATCTAGTACGACACTTAAATTCATAGTCTAGGTACCATAGAAGAAAGTTTATCAGAACAATTACTATGTAATTACCATTTATAGAAAAGCCACAAGGAAGCTATATTACGGCGGTGGGAAAGTGACTGAAAGTGTGATGCCAGGTTAGGACCAACAACATTGCAGATTCTTCTTTAGATCTTATCACGAATCTCTAAATATATAGCAAAATCACCCCCAGACCAGATGTGGCAGCAATATTCAAAATAAGGTTGAATGGTAGACTTATAAATATATAAGATAGATTCTGGATAGAAAAACTGTCAATGAACCAACTTTTTTAGCAGCAGAACTAACAATTGATTCAATATAATCTTTCCACTTCATCTCAACGGAAAATGTTATCTCAAAATGGCGCAACGAGTTACAAGAGGTTAGACAGAATAGATTGTCACAATGGATAGCGGCTCATGTTGAGGAATCGGAGAGCCGAGTTCGAATTTAAGTTGGATCGATTCACTTATGTACTAATACTCTTACGAACTTGTAGCGTAGGTGAACCACGGGTTTAAAAAGGAAAACGTGGGATCTTTACTCGGTCTTCACTTAGGAATGGAAGCGACACAAGGGAATCAACGAAGAACAAACGCAAAACGATGGATTTCAAAATAAAACATTTATTTAGAAATACATAAACAGGTAAAGAAAGGAAAAAGAAAATTCATTTAACAAAGGGGAAGGAGACCATGAAAGAACAGAAGAAGCGAGCGAATACATACATAAAAAAGATCAAGCCAAGAAAATCAACTTTTATCTGTCAGTCGAGTTGATATTTCCACACAAAATTCTTGATTCGCCGAAGCGAGAGTTCTTATGTTAAAACAATATTTTGGTCGGCCGGCAATTTTCCATGGTTCCTTTTCTTTTGGAAGTATTTGGGGTCCACAGCATCTCGTACAGGTGTTTCGTTGGTCGATTCAGTTTCGTAACAGTCCTTTCATCTCTAGTCGAGAGATTTTGTTTTCTTCTTCATTTCAATGGGCAGTCCATTTAGAATCGGGACAATTTGACCAGCGATGTTCATCTGCCACTGCTCAGACGGAAACTGAAAATCCTTTTTCAGATTTTTGCTGTCTCCAAAGGCAGTCACATGGGTTCTCTTCGTCCTTGACCAGGTACGCAGGAAGATGTGGCGCATATCACGCAGTGTTTGCGTTACGCCTAAAAATTCATCCGCGTCTGATCACGTGAATCGCAGCAGGAGAACCTGATGATGCCAGGAATTCACTTATGGTTAACTGCCTGATAACTGCGGGATTTTGCAACCAGGTCATTCTCGTGTCGGGTTGCTTTAAAGTTCACAGGCCCGTGGCTTGTGGGTGGAAGAGTAGGTAAAGAGGAAAAGAATATGTGAAGAGAAGAGGAGGGTATTATTGATCATAGAACATATTCGCTCGCAAGTTGAAAGTATTGGATTTTATCTATTTTTATTTATTTATTTTTATATCTAACTAATTTCCTACTAGAATTTGGGATATTTCTTTGGGGGTGATTTTTAGCCTTACACCTATATGGTTAATGAAATCGTGGGTACGTCACAATACCCTTGGGAAAGATATGAATCCTCTTCTTCTCCCCCTGTTATGGGTAAATAGCAGGACAAACTGGATTCTATAGCCTTGGGTGGAAACCAGTCTAGGACCAGGAAACTCTGAATTCAAAACCTGGAGATAGTTGGGATATCTTGACACTTCTGCTACGGCTTCAGTGCATATAGTGCCCCTACGACGGTCATGGGATTCGCGAAATAGTTGCATCATCAGCGAAGATGAATTAAGAACTGATACCCTCATTGATGAAAATTAGGAACAGCGTAGGTCCGGAGGGCAGATGCGTTGGGCGTGTCCGTTCAGGACAACTTCCATTTCGCGATTTTGATAAGAAAGACTGAATCAAAATTTTCGTCCAGGAATACCGTAACATTTCAACTTGCGAAGAAGACCGTCATGCCAAACCCTGTCAAATGGTTTCGAGATGTTCAAAGCAACGGTCCGAGCGTCGCCATTCTTATCTAAAGCTTGAGAGACGCTGTCAGCAGTAATCGCTAAAACATCAGCAGTTGAATTATGGAAGCCAAAGCCACACTGAGTTTCAAATCTGATAGCTAACAATTCTATTTATATCTTTCGTATCAGAGCGATGACGTCATCTGACGAATCGTGAAAATAGAAGTCTCCGCCATTACCAACTGAGTCACTGTAAATGTCGTAAAAAGAAATGCACTATGCCAACCGCGTCAGACGTACAGAAGGAGAAAGTTACAGAAGGAAAAAGAAACACTGAGTGAGGGGGGAAGACCGAGAGAGAAAAATACCGAAAATGAGAGACGCCGAAAAAGAGAGAGAGAGAGAGAGAGAGAGAGAGAGAGAGATTGTGTGTGTGTGTGTGTTTAAATAAGCTTAATTAAAACGAAGTGAGATGTTGCCAGCAGGGAAAGTTCTTCATTAAATTTACGTGCGTTTCGTCTTCAGAGAATGACAAGAGTCCATTTCATATCCGAATCAATAAAACAAGTAGGTATTTTTATATTTCATTACATAATTCAGATAGATAGATAGATAGATAGATAGATAGATAGATAGATAAAGAATGAATTGAGATAGATAGATAGATAGATAGATAGATAGATAGATAGATAGATAAAGATATGATAGATAGATAGATAGATAGATAGATAATAGATTAGATAGATAGATAGATAGATAGATAGATAGATAGATAGATAGATAGATAGATAGATAGATAGATAGATTAATTAATTCTTCATACTAAACATCTTACACAATTTACCAATACTTTGATAAATGTAAACCAGTTTTATTCTTTTTTTTTCTTTCTTTCCTTTTTCATAAAATATCGAATCACACCAATTCATAGAAAGTATGGGGCGACATTTATGATTTACAAGAAATACTGCTGCCAATTGGAATGTGTTTTCCTTGATTCGGGTCACCACTGCAACCAGATCCGTTATCGATGAACTGGTAGGATCGCGAATGGTGAATCATAAAATCCAATATTCATTGAGTCAAAATGCAACATTTAAGCTTTATCCGCCCAATGTGTGAAGTCAGGGTATGAATCACCCGTTAGCCTGGCTATCGCCATTTTAATATTCCCAACAAATGCGCTTTGACATACGTGCATATGTCATAGTGGAGAAAGAAATTCGAGTAAAACATTTGAAAATCATTGGATACATTCTCCATTCAATTATTTTCATGTTTCATTCTTCCGTGCGTTTTTTTAACTACATATCAACCCCTGTTAGGTTATTTACTATTAAAATCTGCTTTTGTTTATGCTTGATTCTATAGGCTGTTCTTATTCGTGAGGCAATATATAGGTACGAGTCGTGTTTATACTTAAATCCATAGGTAGACAAAGATCTTGCATCTCCTCTTTTTACATCTCTTAAATTTATGCCTGTTAATAATAACTTCAGTTAGCTCTTCTTCTCTGATCGTGGTCTCTTTGTACAGATGTGACACTGAGAACATGAGGTGTTTAAATGTTGATTCTGGGCAAAAAAAAGGGTTAAGCCCCAAATGGACTGTAGGCTGGAAGTCAGAAAGAGAAAAAGAGAGACAGAGAGACAGAATGGAGACATTTTCCTTGGTGAAAATGGGACCGTCTGGATTTCTTCTTCCCTAAAGTTTATTTTTCTTATCTATCTTGTCCGGCATGCCGGCGGAAACAGACTTGGAGTACAATTTTATCTCTTCCTTGAGAATTTAAGCAAAGAAATATATTTTCGTTGACGAAAACGAATTTGGAAATGAAACAAGGAACGAAGCCTTTGTGAAGGTCGAAGTAATGAAGATCGATCTTGTCGTGACAAGCAGGTGATTTGGTTTGTCTTCTCGCTAGAAAGCAATCAACACACCGATGGAGAATAATTTTATCTCTTCCTTGAGAATTTAGACAAACAAATGTATTTTCGTTGGCAAAAACGAATTGGGAAATGAAAAAACAGGAGCGAACCCGTTGTGAGGGTCAAAGTTATGAAAACAGATCCTGTAAATTGCTGAGAGGGTGATCGGATTTGTGTTTTCGGTGTACGTGGGTAGTTCCGGAAATGGAGTGATAATTTTATCTCTGCTTTGAGGAGGCAAGAGAATTAAAATTAATGACTAGAATAAACTACGCCCACACGATTTGAAAATTAGATTTGTCACAAAACAATTCGGCCGGCCCTGAGAGATGAGCACAGGTGAAATGCTGGGAAAGAAAGAGGAAGAAGGAGGATTTGGCGCCGCCTGTGTGGGGTGGTGGTGCGAGATGTGAAATGAAGCAAGTTGGAATTGGGAAGGAGCAATCCTTGTAACTACTCCCGAGGAGGTGGATAATTCTCCAAATTTGGGAAGTTGATTAAAAGGGAGAAATAGAAATGTGAAGATTGGGGAATCACCAAATCCCCAGAACCTTTTGGCCCCATATCCAGAGTCTCTGAAATCCACGTCAGCTACCACCAGATATCCTGATTCCAAAGAACTTTGAGCCCAAATTATTAGGCTAAGCATTATAGAAAATGATGCGGGAAGGGTTAATTTTTGTTGTAACAAGAGCTATATAAACCAAACCCCATATTTCGTTTTATTTTTTCGTCGTGAAGATATTTTTCTTCCTTAGTGTAGCACACGTGACAGCATGAACTAACGCTACGACATTCGATCTTCCAGTGCTCTGTGGTCAAGAACACAACTTGGGCAGAATTGGTGTGGATCGAAGCGGTCAGCGGCCAGCGAGCAACAACCTGCTTGTACCAGTGTCAGCGTTATTCCTGCGGTTAAAACGTCGTCCTAAGACCTCGAGGACCGGACCACTATAAATGGTTACACCACCGGGTGTAAAAGGTAAAACCTTTTACCGCCTGCAGGTGAATTCATCGGGAGAACGTGTCTTTCTTGTACCCATCTTCATTTATAGATAGATAGATAGATAGATAGATAGATAGATAGATAGATAGATAGATAGATCTAACCAGAGTCGGCATGTCATGCTTTTAGTTGAATACACAGGTAGGCATAGATCGTGTTCATACCTGAGTCATCATGTTGTGTTTAATCAGGCTGTGTTTACAGATGAATCAATAGGTATGTTGAATCAATAAGTGTGTTGGAACAAGTTGCGTCAATACATAATTCATATGTAGACGTAGGTCGGGTTTATACATAAATTCGTGTTTATACTTGACTTTTAAACTAAAAGTTTAAAAAGCAAATTAAGACAAGCTTACTAACTGGTAAAAGTTTTGTGTGACCGGAGTTTTTATTTTAATTAAATAAAATGTACATAATACTTATTTACCACCGCAATCCCCATAAAAACTGATGGTATTATTTACGTGTGGATAGGTCCTTGTATCGATGTTTAAATTGTCGCTCCACAATCTTCACCCTACGATCAGTGTATTGTCTGTGGGAAAAACTGTTACTTTTTTTAATCATTTCACCCTCCAAGCAAGGCAATAAAGCCACTAGGGTTAATAGGAGCTAAAGAAACAGAGAGAACAATAAAAGAAGATAATGCTATGAGATAGAAGAGGATTGATATTGGATTTAAATTTTTGAATATCGGGGTTTTCAGGAAAGCAGGATGCTGAAAGAGAGTTTTACAAGCGAGGACAGGAACTTGTGGAGAGCTATGATCGTTCATTTACTGGATGGACATGGCATGTAGAAGACAGAGAAATGTAGAAATTTGTACAATAAACAATTTAAAGCCTTTAGAACAAAATTACTCTCTTTTAATCGTCCTGGGTATGACGATAAATTACATCCGGCAGCAAGGGAGATTTTGAGGAGCGTGGAACTACCTCATACGTACTGTTTTTCCCAGATTCACTCTGATGCGGGGTGGTAGCACCTACTAGGGTCCCATCTACGGACGGTTAACCCCCAAAATGGGGTCAAACACTATGAAAGTATAAAAATATATTTTTATATTGAAAATATCAACAATAATGTTTTGTAAAAAAAAAAAAAAATTTCCAGCAATATGTTTTTGAAAAAATAAAATTACCAGCAATAAATTTTTCTAAATAAAATTATTAATGCTCCCAAGAAAATTAAATTTCGACATTAAATGACCCATAAGGAGTTGATATGCCATATGCCTATAAATGCCGCTAAACAAACAAACAAGAACCCTTGTTACTATTCAGCAGCATGGCTGATGCTAACCTTCAAGAGAGTATTTCATTGAACCTAACATTTTCCACCGACATAAAGTGGAAAGATTATATTCAATTAATTTCTAGGTTTGCTGCTAGGAAAATTGGTTCACTGTGTCGTGCTAGAAAATTTTCCCGCCAGAATCTATCTTACATGATCTACCATTCGTTCATGCTTTGAATATTGCTGCCACGTATGATTTAGTGCTCCTGTTATATATTTAGAGATTTTTGATATAATCCGAAGAAAGAATCTGCATTGTTATTGATCCTGATCTGGCACCTCGCCTTCAGTCACTTTCCAACCGCCGTAATGTAGCTTCCCTGTGCCTTTTCTATAAATATTTTCATGGTAATTGTGCTGATGAACTTCCCTCTGTGGTACCTAGACCTTATGAATTGAAGCGCATTACTAGATTGGCGGCAAGGTCTCAATCGTTTTACTTTCGAAATGACTAAATTCAACCGTAAGTTTTATGCTAACAGTTTCCTCTCTCGCTTCCCAGTCAATTTTTATCTTCAAAAGTGTAAAAGCAATGTCAATCGCTATCTTTTGTCTTCTTAATTCCTATTCTTTTATTGTTCTCTCGCCTTAATAAGGTTTTTTTCGATTTTTTTTTCTCATTTTCTCTAACTCTCTGTAAGCCCTTAGGTTTTAGTGATTTCGTTGCCATGCTTGGAATGAAATGATTTTTTAAAAAAAAAAACAGACGTTTCTAATGTCAAAACTCATCGGATTACCAAACTTACCAACAGATGACATTTGTTCTACAGTTCGCCAATAATCAAATAAACTTTGTGATGGTGGCCAGTGGCCAACGCCGATTATTTGTTTCCTCTTGTAAGAAACGTTGAGTAAAAGAAGAAAAATTAGATTATTTTAGACGGACGACGAAAATATCTCTTTACTTTTAGCCAGTAACCAGAGCCTCGTTCTGGCAATCCAGAAATAGGCGGGCAATTAGAGATGGCTGAGCGTGTCTGCTGTTCTTATTAAGGGTTGAACGGAAATGAGGAAAAATGGCGATCAGATAAGATTTTAGTGTTCTAAGCAAAGTATCAAGAAACACGAAATATCTCATTAGAAACAAAGAAAAGAGTACTGAACTGTAATATCGGTTTTCATTTATGGCAGTGAATGTTGTACAATCTCCCCACAGATGAAGAAGAAACTTGAGACAACTGAAACAAATAAAAGAATACTGAAATACTATGTAATATCAGTCTTCCTGTATGGCAGTGAATGCTGAACAATCTCCTCATAGACGAAGAAGAGACTTAGGGCAATAGAAATGAATATGGAACTACTATGTAATATCAGTCCTTCTATATGGTAGTGAATGCTGGACAATCGTCTAATCGTAGGAGAAGAGAACAGAAAATTAGTTTCTACAGAAGGATGCTGAGGATAACATGGACCTAACTTGTGAGCAACGACAAAGTTTCAGAGAAAATGGAAACGAAAAAGACATCTATACTTAACATCTGAAAGAGACAGTTGAAATTACTAGGGCACATACAGAGGAAAGAGGGCTTGGAAAATCTGACACTGATAGGAAGGCATGGGTCGTATTTATACATATCAACAGGTATACATAGGTAGTGATTATACTTGAGTCTATAGGAAGACATTGATCGTGTTTATACTTATCAACAGGTATACATAGGTCGTGTTTATACTTGAGTCTATAGGAAGACATGGGTCGTGTATATACTTATCAACAGGTATACATAGGTTCTGTTTATACTTAAGTCTATAGGAAAATATGATTCGTGTTTATACTTATCAACAGGCATACATAGGTCGTGTTTATACTTGAGTCTATAGGAAGATATGGTTCGTGTTTATACTTATCAACAGGTATACATAGGTTGTGTTTATACTTGAGTTTATGCATAGATATGGTCGTATTAATACTACAGCCAATACGTAAATATATGTTTCTTTCAATATGCCCTGTAAGTGTCAAATTTTCCAAGCCCTCTTCCCTCATTATGTAACCTAAAAATTTAAACTGTCTCTCTCAGATGCTATGTAGAAGTTTTCTTTTTTGTTTCTATTTTCTCTAAAACTTCGTTGTTGTTCACGTGTTCAGTCCATAGTATTCTCAGCATCATTCTGTAAAACAACATTTGTATTACCTTAACTCTCTTCTCCATCTATGAGGAGATTGTCCAACATTCACTTGCAATATTGCTATTATAGAACTCTTCAGTACTCTTTTCTTTGTTTCTAGCAAAATTTTCCTCTTTCTTTATACTTTAAAAATTAAATTAAAATATTCGTCATTCTTCCAATGAAATTTTCATTTTTTTAAATATTTTGCTTAGCTTTTTTAAGTCATCTTTCACCATCGCAAGGAGCCTTCGGATTTTGATGTCGCACTTATCAACAGGTATACATAGGTCGTGTTTATACTTGATTTTATGAGAACACATGGGTCTTGTTTATACTTATCAACAGGTATACAAAGGTTATGTTTATATTTGATTTTATAGGAAGACATGGTTCGTGTTTTTACTTATCAACAGGTATACATAGGTTGTGTTTATACTTGAGTCTATAGGAAGACATGGGTCGTGTTTATACTTATCAACAGGTATACATAGGTCGTGTTTATACTTGAGTCTATAGGATGACATTGGTCGTGTTTATACGTATCAACAGGTATACATAGGTTGTGTTTATACGTAAGTCTATAGGAAGGCATGGGTCGTGTTTATACTTATCAACAGGTATACCACATTTTTATTACCTAAACTCTCTTCTCCATCTGTGAGGAGATTGTCCAACATTCACTTGCAATATTGCTATTATAGAACTCTTCAGTACTCTTTTCTTTGTTTCTAGCAAAATTTTCCTGTTTCTTTATACTTTAAAAATTAAATTAAAATCTTAATCGTCATTCTTCAAATGAAATTTTCATTTTTTTAATATTTTGCTTAGCTTTTTTAAGTCATCTTTCACCCTCGCAAGGTGCCTTCGGATTTTAATGTCGCACTTTACGTCCTCAGTTGAAACACTTTCTAGATAAACAGCAACGTCGGTTCTAGAACGTCTCACATGTAGAACAAATCGGTTTTCGAACAGAAAATTCGAGATGAAAATGTCTCGGTTATCGAACAAAATTTCGGTTCTCGAACAACATTGCCGAACAGAGCCGAACAGAGCCGAACTGAATTAACCCGAACGAAATCATTGAGTCATGGCTCCAAAGAAAGGTAGCAGTGTAAATGAAAAAGAAAAATTGTGAGTTGTTGACATTGTCTCTTCCTACTCAGTTTCATATGGCAAAATCAACGAGGGCACCCTGGTTAGCAAGCTTGTCTCACTAGAACAATTACGACTGAGTAGTGAGTTCGATTCTTACTGGGTGCCCCATACTTTCGGCCTTGTGCCACATCTACGCTACGCTTGGAAAATCACTATGGCAAAATCAACGAGCTATACTATTCTTATAAAGAGACAATCATGTCTTTCCTTCCCCTTTCCAAACAATATCATCTCTTTCCTTACCCATCCATACCAACTTCCTCTTACGCCATCAACTCTCCTACTTACTTAACGTGTTCGCCTATATTTTATCTATGTAACATTGAGTTTATTTTTTTCTTAGATTTAATGATTTTTATTAGTTTTGTGTATAAACTTGTGCACAAAGTAAAAAGTAAATGTAAAAGTTTAAATAAGCAATCATCTTGGGACCAGGAACGGATTAATCCATTTTACATTGATTCCTATTAAAAAAAATATTTTCGGTTTACGAACATTTCGGATTGCGAACGGGCTTCAGAAATGAATTAAATTCGTGAACCGTTCC